ATCAGGGAATTCCATTTTTGCGGAATTCTGGAGGACATTTTTCACAACTCAACTATACTATTTGACAATAGTGATTGATCTTTTTTCTTTCGTTGAATTAGAACAGTGAGATGTAGGGGGCGCTGCAGAAAGGGTTAGGGACCACTGGTTTAGCCAATAAAAAATGTTTTGTTTTTTTTATCACCTGATTTGTCCTTCTGTGAAAATGAATACACTATATTCTGAAAGACCTACTATTCCTGGCACTTAAGGTGGATTTGTTCCAATAAGTTCCAATTGAATGGTTTGAATTTTAGATATTGAAGAAAAACCTACTTTACCAAAGAAAAAAAGACCTTGAGTGTGAAGAATTCATCCCTGTTTATTTATTTTTATCCAGCTTTTCTGCACAAAAGATCAAGACCTCTAATGGAGACTTTGGTTTGTGTGTGTGTGTCTCTCATCTAATACGATCAAGGAAGATCCCTTCAAAATATTCACAAACATCTTCACTGCTCTGAGCTACACTGTGGCTTTTAATTGAAAGCACTGACTGAAGAATAAGGAATATCTATTTTCTTGAAAAGACCGTTTTGGCCTCTCACCAGGATTCATGGTCAGGTCCGTTACGTTTTCTCTCTGCTTGTGGCTGTTTTACAGCTTCATGTTCCACAAGTGTCTGTTATTTTATATCAACAAGTACTGACGTTAAAGTGTTTCAATGAAATGTGTTCAGACGTGTGGTGGAGGGCAAAAATCCAATCTACGACCCAGTGACCAGAAAAACTCACGATGATGAAGACAGCGTCAGGCGGCGACTCAGTGAGGAAGCACAGGAGCACATGTGGAACCTCAAGGGGTTGTAAATGGTACTAAAGCCAAGTAGGACAGTCATTGATGATGTTCTTTACAACAATAAGCAAGATTACAATACGAGAAAAATTAGTCTGGAACCACGGGACCATTAAACTCATTGATATTAGCCAACAATCAGCAGTAAAGTATTGATAATATGATTCGCAAACGTTACCACGAATTATAAGCTTCTGTCTCAATTGGAGTTCACCTACAGGAGACAAAAATGTCCCAGTCCATAATTGTCCTCAGCTAAACTCTTCTGCAAACCCAAAGTGAAGGGAAAAAAAGCCTCAGAATTTCAGTAGAATTCCACGTCACAACAGTCAAGTCCGACAGTAACCATAATTAAATCCTAATGTGAAGATTACCCAAATCAATATTTGAGCACTTTAAGAATGAAGCCTCACGTAATGATCTGACACCGACCAGCGCTGCTCTCTTTATCTGAAATTAAATCTTTTAATTATGCTCGTGGAGTGGCTCTGAAGTGCTCTGCTTCACATCCACGAGTGAGAGGCAAATATTTCCACCGCAGAGAAAAGTGAGAAAATTATTATTACACTCTCATCCTGATCCTTCAACATCGTCTCGTTATCAAAGCCGTCCGAGCGCCGTCACGTGCACAGCTGGCACGTGCACAACGCTCACTCAAAACTGAAATAAATGGACATGTGACTTAGTTATTATTTTTACACAGCTGTGCATTGGGCAAAGTTTTACGAACCAACAACCTCAAAAGTGCACCAGAAAGTACCAGCCCAACTTTAAATGGGAATTTTGTTGTTTTGTTTTTGTTTTTAAAAGCCAAACTTTCTGCCCTGAGGAGAGACGCGTGTCCTGTAACAAACACCACGGTATTTCTTTATGTCCTCCACCAGATGGCTCTGACACTAAAGTGGCAGGAAGAGGACCAGACACACACAGAAGGTGAGGGACAGGACTAGGCCAAAGTCTCCAGTCTACATCAGAGATCAGGAACAGTACCATGTCTTTGTAGAACTGTAGGACAATTTTACAGAGTTTAACTCTGGACCTTTCTGCTCCATTTATGCTTTCAATTCAGGTGGGGTTTTTGTATTTTTATTTTTTTTTACAAATTACACATTGTAAATACATACTAAATTATTCAACTTTCTGTGGAACTAAGGACCAAAGTTCTGGTCTACAGTCACTCCTTTGTCCAGTCATGTCCACTCTGTCCCTGTACTTACAGGAGCATGTAGTTCCATGGTGTAGCGGTTATCACACCTGCCTCTCAGACCTCCAGAAGGTTCTGGGTTCAAGCCCCAGAGGAACCCCATACCCAATGGGCCGGCCCTTGTGACAATCTGTGAGTCACAACCATATATTCAGTGGCGCCTCCTGTGGCTGTCTGTGTGGATTACAATGACTCAAACTGTGAATTCTGAATAAGGAACTCCAGTTTTCAGTGCCGTTTATTGACTTTTTGACTTCTGCCCATTAAACCAGTTCAGTAACTATTACAGATTTTTTTAGAGCTAATCAACCTGACTTCGTGTGTTCCAGATAATCAAGATTTCAGAACAACTGACTGCTCCCTATAGTTATGAACACATACTATTTTTACTCTAACATATGCAGCCGATTTGTAGCTCGCAGCAGAGCTCACACTGAGCTGATGTTAAAGTGCTAAAGACAGAATTAAACGTGAAAACATTTCAGTAAGCATGTAGCGGGAGACTCTTACATTCGATTCTTTACCAGCCGAGTGCTGGAAGTTCTTTCATTTTGGATCCTTCGCCCTCTATGTTTATTGCCTCTGCAGTTATCAAATCATTAATTAAGTTTACATCAACTCTCGTCCGTGAGCCTGGTGTGTGTGAGACACGGCTGCTTCCAGCATGCTGATGTCACAACCAATTAATCCTAATAGGCCGCCGTCCAACCATGCAAAACCACAACAAGAAGTTGTCTCAGCAGCACAGAGGCAGTGGCTGGTGTGAAACCACATACGTGTGATTAGAAAGTTCAGACATAACTCTTCATTACTTTTTATTCTAAAATTCACTGTAATGGTAAAAATGAATGGCAGAAAATTAACTGTGAAATAGAGAGCAGCAGGAAAATGTTAATGTCAATGGTTTGACATTAAGTTCTCTACAAAACAGGTAGAAATTTTTTTTCACTGAATAAAACCCCCCCTCTCCAAAAAAAAACACTCCCCTCCACCCCTGCATTTACCTCTCAGTGCTTAAATCTTCTTAATTAAGTCAGATTGCCAAAACCTAGAAACTGGAACTGAACTAAAAACAACAACTGCTGTGTTTTCTCAATGTTAAGCAACAGTATCAAAGAATAGGTAACTGAGAACAGGGTCTCATTTAAATCAAATGACTTTCATGTATTTTGAAATGCTATGATCAGGCCTCACAGTGTGTGCTGGTTTGTGCTCTTACCTCACAGAGAGAGGATCAGTGTTTGGAGCTCTGGTTGAACTTTCTTCATGGAGTTTCCAGGTTCTTTCCAGGTTTTTGTGCTGTTTGTCTCAAAGCCTGACTCTGTGATGAACTGTTGAACTTCCCACCATTGTCTGCTCCAGCTTCCACCAAGACTCTGAAATATATTCACTGGTAGAAGATGAATTAATACAAGCAAAAAAATACAAAAATAAAATGGGTTTTCCAACTGAAGCTAGGTCCCAGAATCTCCCTGTGAAAGACTTGCTACAGACATTAGGACAGAACTAGGTAGGTACAGGTAGATATATAGATATATAGGATTAAAATAAGAAACCAGACGGTTGACTAAAACACAAAATCAGAGCTTTAAATACTGAAGGTTTTTTTTGGGGGGGGGGGGTTCAGTTGTTTTCCAAAAAACTCCAAAGTCTGTGGTGGCCTCAGATAACCAGGTAGAAAGATCCACAGTTTTTTTGTTCATTTGTTGTGTCACACCAGAGCTGAAGCGTTCAGCTGCTCCATCACTTAAGTCACAATCACAGATGCCTGCTCTATTTCTGAAGCTTTTAGAGAGAGAAAGTGAGCTTCAAGGACCTGGTATCAACGGTTGGACGCGATGAGAGCTGTTAGCAGATCATTGAGATTCAGTGGAGGTTGAGATCAGAGCTGGCCCTCAGCACATTTCATGGTCTGAATCTTTTAAATTCCATTTCCTTTCCGGCTAATGGAGGACTGCAGGTGGCTGTAGACACTGATGTGAACCCAGTAGAGTGTGTGGGGGAGTCAGTGTGAGTGATCAAGTCGTCGGTGTGTTCGGTGTGTGTGTGTGAAGTCGATGGTTGAGTTGGGCGACTTTTCTGAAGTTACACCATTAGAACATCAGCTAACATTTTCCAGACCACATTTTGGTCCTGATTTCTAACTCAATACATTTTTTCACATTATAAATAAAGTAAAATTATAATCATAATAATTGTATTGAGCTTAAGCTACCGATGTGGCAACACTGACATTTGCAGTGCAAGAGACTGAAGTCTCATCAGTGCTGGAGAACAGGCTGCTGATGCTGAGAGCTGCTCTGGAACACTGACACACTGAAGTGCTCGGAGTTGCATCACCGTCAATCTGTTTGTGTCTGTGTGAAGTTGAGGCACAAGAAAACTTTTTATCGGCAGCACAATCAAGTGGAGCTGCTCTGTGACGAACTATAAACTTTTCCACTGCATCACAAAAGATGGAGCCTGAATTCAAACCTGTGGATTGTTTTTTTATTAATTTGGGATTTTTCTCAAACTATGCTTTTGTCCATTTGGTGTCACAGGCTATGAAGTCAGACACATTCATTCATTCATTTAGTTTCATACACATTTAATTTGAGAACTTCGCATTATTTAAAAAAAACGGGTTTTTTTTCCTTGTTTAGAATTTTTAAAAATAATATATCCTTAATTTTTCGTGGTGGTGTTTTTTCCTATTGTTTGTTCTGACTAACAAAATGCAAAGGCTTTTTTACTCTTGTCCTATGGTGCCACCGTGTGGTTACAGGCATATGTAGAAAACTATTATGCACAGAATTTCTTCATATTTTTAGAGCAAATGTTATTTTCCTTATATTTTTAGGGTGTGTCGCTTTCTACTTGTGAACCTCGAACCTGTAATTTTTCTTCTCTGCATTTTATTTTGAAATACATTTTAATTCCGCTTCCGCATGTATTTTTGGTTTTTAAAAAAAACCATAACGGATTTGATGTTTTTATTTTTACTTTATTTGTAATTGTATGAAAAAATATTCTACAATGCCGTTGTAGAGATGCTGACAGTTTGGATCCAGAATGTAAAAACATTTTAGCCACTCACACTGAGAACTTGTTTTTCCTCAACAATTCAGCCAAAAAACCCTTTTTTCTTTGCTGAAAAACAAACATAAAACACATTTAGCTTCCCCACAGTGAACTACATTTATGTATAAAATTTTATGTACACCCTTTACCTTTCTCTGTGACCGTGTACATGGCCTCCATGCCAGCCTTGATGTGATCGGTGACGTGACAGTGAAGCAGCCATGTGCCAGGGACCTCAGGACGCATCTTCACTGTCTGAAGAAGAAACAGAAATGAGCGCTACCGAATTTCTTTAAATGTGGCCGGACTTTCATTGTGTTTCGTAAATTATGTTTGTAATTTTGAGTTTTTCTGTAACCTGGAAACTGGCCGGAAACAAGTCATACACATCTGTTTTATGGGCTCCTCCACCAAGCTGCAGAGGAATGCAAATGTTTTGATATAAATTATTAAACTTGTTTTGTTTTGTCTCCCGTTATGACATTACCTATGTGCTGCATTTACCTTATACTCCACACTGTGTCCGTGCCAGTGGACAGTGTGCATGTCTATGTCGTTGCCCATTCCCATTAGGTACCAGTACACCTTATCTCCCACCTCCATGTTCAGGCCTTTTATATTACTGTACACATAACCATTAATGGCTGTAAAGAAAACAAAAATGTAATGAAAACAGCAAGTTTTAAATTTGTTGTTTTCATGCTTGAATTAAAATGTTACAAAGTTACAATATTTAGATCCTACCATGCATTTTGTTGCTCTCTATGAAGGTTTCATCATCTTTCAAATTAGTGCGAGGGTTTCTGATGTGGGTCCTGATGTTGTCGTCCAAATACCTAGTGCAGAAAAGCAAAACGACTTTCTAAATGTCCGGAAAACTCTTTAAAGATGATAAAACAAGAAGTGGAATCTGCTTTCGACTTTTTAAAAAACTTTAGTGTTACAATAGGAGGGATTTGGTACCAGCTTTCATTCTCATCAAAAACCAGGAAAAGCAGAGCAAACTCCTCAATTTCCTTCTTCAGCCCTAAGCTCCTGGAAAGAAAAGAACAAAACTGCTCATTAGTTTGTTCCTCTATTACATGTTCCTCTGTGATAGAACTCAAGCATCCAGTATCCACTTCAGGAATTCTGAATATTTATCGATACACAAGGAAGAATTCTGACCTGCCCCAACTACGACGGCAAATCACCAACGGACCAATCAATCCACTGTACAGGTCCTGTTGAAGAAAACAACAACATGATGGTGTGTTTAAGTTCCATTACATGCATGCGTGTATGTGTGTGTGTCATTGTACCTTTACAACATCAGCAGTAGAGTAGTATGCTGAAACTGAACACTGCTCCTGCTCTAGGGTCGGGCCGGTGTTCTTTGTTACGTACCAATAGTATGTGTGAGTTTCACCTTCAAAATGAAACGGGGAACATTTTAGAGTAACCCCTAGAATCAGTAACTATATACATACATATATATATATATGTGTGTGTGTGTGTGTGTGTGTGTGTGTGTGTGTGTGTAGTGCACTTCACATACCTGGTGGAGTCTTGTGAATATCTGGCGTTTCTGTTTTGACACCATGTGCGTGAATGGAGTAAGGTCTGGAGGCCATGTTCTTAAAAACCACCTTGACTTTGTCTCCGACATCAGCATGAATCATCGGACCTGAAAAAAACAGGATTTCTTGTTTTGTTTTGTTTTTTATCACATAACCTCCATCGGTTTTAAAACATTGCCCAAGGGGAAGCCTACCCATGACTCCAAGGTGTTCCATGTCAGCAGTTCTCTCCACCTGTTTAGTGAACTTGTCATTGGTAAACTGACGGTACACCACCTTCTTGTAACGAGAGCCTATGAATCCACCCTGCTGGTTTAGGAACGTAGGAGCAGGGCTGTAAGGAAAAAGAAGAACAACTATTTTACCAGACAAAGAGAAATAAAAAACAAATAAACCCAAAAAAGAATATAAGATGTTTACTTGATGTGGTTGATGTACATCTCAGCCTCCCAGGTGCGGTTCGGAGAGTAGTCCCAGTCTAGTTCCATGGCAGCGATGTAGTAGGTTTTTGAGTGGAGCATGGTTTCACCCTGACGCTGTAAAATGCTACACTTCTGTACCGTGTAGTTTGCTCTCATCCCACCATTATAGTTGTTCACTGTAGGAGACACCACCTCGAAGTGACCTAAAGACAAAAAACAGAATGCACAAATGTCCAAATTAAGTCATAAAGTTCGAAGAAAAGCATTTTTATTAACAATGCCATTTCAATTCTGCTTCTGTTTTTCACACCGGGTCATGACTTGACTCCATCCTGAATCCTGAGAATTTTTTTTTTTTATGTTATTTTAGATTTGATAAAGTTAAAATTGTCCAATGAAGCAAAGTCCAAACTTCTTGCTTGCCTTGATCATATTCACATTTCCAAGTTTGATTACAAATTAAATGTTTTACTTCTTTTTCAAAATTGTTTCTTTTTGAGGGTTAGAAAACTTAATAATTAAAAATGACAAATTGTAGTTTTATATCAGGCTTTACATAATAAACAATAAAACTGGTCAATGATGTCTTGTTTTTAAAATCAGGTATATTTAAAATCATAACATCAATATAACCAGTTCATTTAAAACATTTAATTCCCATTGACTACTAAAATTATAAAAGACAAAATAATAAAAGGTAAAATAGAGTCTGAGGATTTGACTGAAAATCAATGGGTAGAGTTATTCTACACTAAGTATGTCAGGCACTTGTGTTTGACATGTACCCATGCTGTCTGGCTCCATGGTGACGGTGTGAGAGATGTGAGGGAAAACACTGATGGAGTCTCGTCTGTTCTGCAGATAGATGAAACGATTTCCCTCAAAGTACAGACTGTTGATGTCTACCTCCGACCCCAGTCCTGACAGGTGCCACGTTACTTTATCCCCCTTACACATGGTCAGACCTGGGAGGTTTCTATACACAAACCCGTTTAGTGCTGTAAGATAAACAAAAACAAACAAAGAAATATTATTTGTTGTTTTTTTTTAAATAGTTTATAATGGGATTGTTCTGCCTACAATGCATTTTGTTGCTCTCCATGAAGCCCTCGTCCTCCTTTTTGACAGTGGCAGGAGCAGTGGTGAAGGCTCGGATGTTGTCGTCCAGATACCAGCTCAGGTTCTCATCAAACACCGTGGCCATGAGGTGGAACTCTTTGTTATAGTTTTTCTACATGAGGAGGCAGGAAAAAAAATAGACATGGTACAGGAAAACCAGCTTTATGTTTTGTGTGTACTTTGAGTATTTGTATACCCGGACTATAGGTTGCACCAGAGTATAAGTCACACCAGCCAAAAAATGCATAATGATGAAGAAAAAATCACCAGTGCCCTCTAGCGGCTGTCAGTGTGAAAATAACAAACATGTACATTTTCAGTGGTACAGGAGTAGCAGATACTGGTACACAAGCATAGAGCGCCTTCTAGTGGCTGTGAGTGGGAAAATAAGTCGCACCTGAGTATAAGTCGTAAAACGCAGCCAAAGGATGAAAAAAAGTGTGAAAATACGGTAAAATAAATCTACCCTTCCAACGGTGTGTTTACATAGTTGAGATTAGGGTATTAAAAATTAGGCACTCAGTGTTTTTTCTGCAGCCGTTCTCTTGTGGTGCATGAAGCAATTGTTGACCACATTTGCAGGAATCGCTTTACAACTGAATAATGAACTGAGTAACTCCTCACCTGGACTCCTTTTTTCAGCGAACCTTGTCTGCAGATGAGAAGAGGTCCCACAAGTCCAGAGCTGGTGTCCTTTACAGGATCAACTCCAGAGTAGTACAGATAGGTGAGACAGTCTCCCTCCCCCTGAACTGGACCAGCACCTACAGGAACTGTCCACTCGTAGGTGTAGACTGTCCCCGGTCTGACCAAAGCAGCTGGCGGAGGAGTGACCAATCCTAAAGAAAAACATTTTTGGTGATATTGGGTTTTTTTTATATTAGTATTTTTATTTTTTATTTTTTTCTGTGGATACAGATTATAGCATTTTTGCTATTTACTTGGTTCTTTTTTTAGCTCTCGCAGTTTCTTTGCAGTATATGTTTCTGGAAAAGATAAGTAAATGGTAATAAGTAAGTATAAATATGGATAAATTAAGAAAATAATAATGAATAATTCATTGTCAATTCATCAACAATGTAACCATGAATATTACATGCAGTGTTTATATTCAGGTAGTACCTTCCAATTCATTGTAGTAAAGCGTCCCATCCTGCTCAATGCTATACTGGACACCATGTGGTTGGATAGAGTAAGGACGGCTGGCTTTGTTTTTAAATACAACGTTGATCGTGTCTTTCTCTTCAGCTCGCAGCACTGGGCCTGGATATATGTAAAACAGGAAATACGGAGACAATGAAACGAATAATATTTGGTAAATTTTGCGAAATTAGACATCACAAAAAGTATGAATAAAAAAATGGATAAAATAATGGACCAGATTACCCAGAATTCCCAGATGTTGCTCCTCTGGGCTGCGTAGCATCTTCGTGAGGAAGGAGTTGTCAGTGTATTCCACGTAGCGAACTTTCTTATAACGACTTCCAATGCGGTTTGAACCCTTGGTGACAAACTTTTCTGCTTCACTGCACACACACACATTCACACACACCAGAGTTAGAAAACTCGATATGTTCAAATGACTAGGCATGGTTTTATTATTATTATTTACACGTTTTTCTACGTCCCACATTACATTGTTGGGTCGCCATTTGTTAAACTGAGACATTTATCGCCATGTATTATTAGTAATATTGATTCTGAAAACATACACTTTTTAAGAGTTCCACCTGGGAACCACGACTCGATATTAGCCGGTCATTATATTATTTATACTGCTGTATTTTGCGAAGGGAGTTTTTAAAAATAACAATACTAAACACTGCGCCACTAGAGGGAGCCTAAGTACCTAAATTTGAGAACTAGTGTATGTGCAGTGACTAACCTCTCGGTAGGCGGTATGGGAGCGTAGTCCCACACTTCCTCTTCAGCAGCAATGAAGAACTGTCTGAGTTCACCATGTGGTCTGGGTTTGTGGACGTTTGGGAAACATTTCTTAATCTCAAATAAAGCCTGCATTCCAGCTTTAAGAACAAGAACAAAAAAAAACAACAACAATATAAAACAATTGCTGCAGCACTGGAGGTGGACATATTTCCTTTGTGAGAACTATGATCTTCTCAGAGCTCGTTGCACACCCATCAGATGGTCGTTGACTGTGCATGTCAGTAGCCAATGACCAGGGTTGTCGGCTACCATTTCGGCTGTAGTGCTTAGGCCTGGCGACAGGCTGACTGTGTCTGTGTGGCGGTTCTGAGTGGTCAGGATCTGACCGTGGAAATGAACCGAGTGGATGTCCACCTGTCAGGATACATGACATTTTTAGACAGCTCAGAGTTTATGCAAGGATGAATTTCACACAGCACAAACCTTACCTCATTACCCATGCCAAACATGTGCCAGTGGACAGTGTTGCCTTGACACATGCTTATTCCAGGCAGGTTACCATACACATAGCCATTTATACCTGCAATGTAAAATGTAAGAATATTGTAAACATAATATTGTGTGTATGCTAACATTAGACCATATGTGCTGCTGTGCCCTCACTGTGCATCTTGTTGCTCTCAATAAAATCTTCATCTTCCTTCAGATTTGGGTCGGGTTTTGGAATGTATGTCCTGATGTTTTCATCCAGGTACCAACTGAAGTTCTCATCTGACACCATGAACAGCAGAGAGTAGTGGTTTTCTGCTGCTTTGTCACCATGTAAACCCAAGGTTCCTGGAAAACAGGGAACAATGTAGTGCTAATTACAATTACAATTCTGGTCAATTATAGTTGTCTATTCCATGCTGCTGGGATTGTCCCAGTACAATCTTTTACAATCTACAAAAAAAGGGTGAGGTGCGGTGCATGCGCAGAGCTCATGAAGACACGATGAAGCTACTATTGCTATGCTAATTTTATTCTCATTAACAGATGGCTTTTTTAATCTAAAAAAAATATTCTTTTTGCATAGATAACGGAGTCAGCAGTCCAGAAAGTGAGCAGAGTTTTCAGACTAATAGCACATTTTAAATTATAACAACTTCTTCTTTCTTCAACATCTAATATTAAAGGGGATTCTGTACCTTTCTTACAGATGAGGAGGGGTCCTATGAGTCCTGAGTCTATGTCTTTTGGAGGAGAAACATGGGAATGGTAGAACCTGGTCAAGCAGTTGCTGTCTGCTTGTATTGGGCTGTGCTGCTCAGACAGCGTCCACTCGTACAACACTGTTCCACCAGGAGCTACCGAGTCATCACGCTTGTCCTCTGGACCAGTTCCATCAGGATACAACGCTCCTGCGAATGTACATACAGTCATCAATTAACACGAGTCAGTCGTCATGATCCGCTTTTTCAGATCATGACGACTGACCCCCTCATTGACCCCTCACCCTCGTTGCTCTTGCTGTAGTTCATTCCATGTGGATGAAGACTGTAAGGCCTGGATGCACTGTTCCTCAGGAGAACGACCACCGTGTCTCCTTCTTCGGCCTGGATCTCAGGCCCCAGGTAGCCCAGCCAGTCCGGCTTCACCTTTTCTGTCCTGTAGGTGGCGTCAGTGTACTCCTTGTACACAGCCTTCTTATAGATGGAGCCAATCCGCTGAGGGCCTCTCTTCAGATAAACGGATGCTTCCCTAAATAAATGATAAGGCAGAAAAAAAGGTTGGTGCATATATTCTTTTTTATCGTTTTTCCTCTTAACTTCAAATTTTCTAAGTAGTATCATTCATCAGGTATACTTTTGTCTAGGGCATACTGTGAAAGGTTTGGAACACAATATAAGCAGACCAAATAGAAAAAAGTTAAAGAAAAAATTATGGGGAAAATGTGTGCCATACTAACAAGACACCCATCATGAATGATGCAGGAACTTGTCAAGATGACTGTAAAATCCTCTGAGGGCTAAACACACAGTGAAATTAAACCTTAGCCATGAGCACCAGAGACAGCAAAAACAAGCGTTAGCACAGCAACAATAAAGAAAAACAAAAGGCCCAAAAATAAAACGTATACCTTACTCTTTGCAAACACAGACCTTTCTGTCCCTCCACACACATAAATCTGAGATTAAAAGCCACAACTTTCAACAGTTTTAATTCATAATCAGCTTTTGCAAAGTAATTCTTGGAGTTCACTTAATAAAAGTACAACCAGGTCTGACCTTCCCAGCAGTCCGCAGGGTGAATGTGATGAGCAGACGATAAAATGTAACCAATGTTAGGTTATTATCTTTGCTACTCGCATGGTCTACAGTCATGTGTAAAGTGTCAGGTGTTATATAATTAAATATACACATCTTGGCACAGGGCAGGGTTTTCGATTAATTACCATTAGCATTACCATCAATTAAACATTAACATTACACAAACAATAAGACCAGCTACACCTGTGTGTGTTTTAATAATCTTTAATTTAATTAGCTACATAATGTCGCTAAATAACCTACCATAGTATTTGTATAGAGCTTTATGTAATGAATGCTGGCAGTGCGATTGCACGTTTGTCCGGCCAGTGCAGTGGACTGGTTAGGCCTATATATAATATTTAAGATTACTCAGAATTCTAGAGCTTTCCTCTAAAACAGAAAAAAATGTCATTTGTCAATGAGTCATCATGTTCAGGCTGAGTGTTTTCTAAATTGCAAAACAATACAACATCTAGGTCAGTCCAATTTTTGTTGCCAAGCCCTGTAAACATTTCAAAAACTGCTGATTGTTGCTGACTTGTCACTGACATATTAACAAATTGCATGTCAACAGATCTAAAGTATGTATGCAAATTTTGCATATCCTATGCTTTCTTATAAGTGTAAAGAATGTGGGAATAATATTATAGACCAAAAATGTATTTTCTCCTTTTTCTCCAATACTTTTCCTTAGTACTTAGTACTTTTCCACTGACTCAGAGATGCTTGTGAGTCAATGGATTTTTCTCACCTAGTGGGTTATTAATAGTGTTGAAAACTGTATGGATCTCTTCATTGTGGGGGAAACTTTGATAGATTTGAATAATTATTTTGTCTGTGACCCTTTTGGTGGAAAGACTTCAATTGAAAAGACTGACATCAGTGCAGGTACATGTTCACCCATCTTACTGTTTGTAACAGAGAAACATCTTAAAACAACATGCTGACTGTATACTCACTCATCCTCCTCCACAGTACGGTTCTGAATGACGTTCATTCCACTGGGGGCGTAGTTCCAGGAGACTTCCTCAATTCTGAAGAAATACTCCCTTCTAATCCCTGACACACATGCGGCTGCAAAACACAGCAGCCACAATTTAGAAAATCCCAGCCAAGACATACTTCAACTGTCAACCGTTGTAACTTGAACCAAAGCAAAAGCGTCAGGTATGAAGACGGCTCTTCTGTGTCTGTCGATGATGGTGAAAATGAGAGACGCGGCAGTGCAGCGAGCTGACAGCAGATCAGTCAGTCAGTGGGGGCCTTTGGACCTCCATTTATACATGTTTTCACACTGACTCAGTGCTGGGAAAAGCAGAGCACTGCCCATCAATAGAGGTCGCTGACCTGCAGACAGAGATGCCGCAAACCTACAAGAGCCCGGAGTAACCTTTGTTACACAAGAGCAAAAAATCTTGTATTGGGACACTGTTTTGGAGTTTTCCACATTTTTTTAAACAGTCCCTGGGTCGATTTAGCTAAATAAGGCCATTTCCGCTTCTTCCCAACTACTGTATATGATATATAGTGCTTTCTGGATAAGAGCAGATGTAGCATTATAACCACGGCAATGATAACCAAACCAAAAAAAAAAAAAGACGATGACAAGGCAAATAACCATTTCCGAAAAAATAAAATTGTGCTGTTCAAGGTAAAGTTTTTATTACTGACAAAACTAATGTAATATTAGTTAAGTCCTTATTGGATTAAAAAAAATCCCCAAATATCCTTTGGACCTGTTACTGCCGACATTCTTTGTTCATGCTACGTGTAAAAAAACAAATTGCCTTCAAACAAACCATGCCGTATCTACACCAAATAAAGTTAAGTCTACAATTTTCAGAATATTGATTATTGTAGCCCTTCTCTAAAGTTCCTTAATTTTCTATTTCTCAAATTGTGATAAATATGACAAAGAATTTAGGCAGCCTATGGCCTAGTCGTTGACAGTTTGGAAGTGTAATCAGCTAACTGCTGGTTTGAATCCCAGCTCTGACATGTGAGCGGTGGATTGAGCAAGCTCTGAAACTCTGAAACAGCTCCACACGTGTACTGAAATATGCAGGTGTCGGTACCTTTTGTATTATGTTAATTACTGGGTGTTTCAAACAGTTTTGGTTTTGGGTGGGTTAAATGTCCTGAGTAATCACTCTTACAGAACTAATGGAGGAAAAGTCATCTGTGCAGTTGAGTATGTGTCATTGGTGAGGGTTATTTATGCTTAAACACTCAACCATATCTCTATTGCTAATCCTGAAGTAAACTGGTTCTTCAGCATACATTAGTAATGCCTGTCATTCACGTGCTACTATCAATGTGACCGTTGTAGTCTGAGCTTGAAGGTTAAACAAAAGACATCTGGAACCAAGCTTATCTCCAAATGTTGATGACAATATTTGTTCAGGTCTGGATCAATAAAAAGTGAAACTGCACCAAGTGAAGTCAGTCTGATGGTTAAAGTTCCATGTAAGTGATCGTGCACCACAGTTACAGCCAAAAAATAGGTTTATCACAGAATAAAACATAATGATAAAATTATTTACAGTAACGGTACAGAAAACCAACGATGAGCGTCAGGTCTGCTGCTGCTGCCTACTGTTTACCTCGGAGCTATCTGAGGACAGGGACCTTGATGACCAGACAGCTGTTTACAGAATGCTGATTATACACACATTTGAAAGGGGTGACATAATTTCTGTTTTATTTAAGGCAGCACATTTATAAAAAATATGTCACTAAAATATTTATAAAATGTCTCAGCATTGAGACGGAGCTACTTTCTAAAAAACAATTTACAATAAAATGATGTAGAATGACAACAAAATATACACAAACTCTCTCTCTCTCACACACACACACACACAAACACAGGGTTGTAGTGGCCAAACAAACACACGAATAACACTGGAGAGGAGCAACACTGTGTGCTGTGCTTTGTTACACATTGACACTTAGTTAAACAGCTACTGTACTCTATGAGCGAGGGTTGCTCTGAATATGTGGGAAATAGTCACATCTTTAAACATATTTCACGATATGGTTTGTGCTACACATACGTCATGTGCATTTATATTTGCAATCTAATCCAAAATACAACCTGCTGTGATGTATGGTATAGAAACAAGCATGAAAGATAGGATCAAAAATGAGTGCATCCAAGAGACAGGCTGTGGTTTAGTGGTCAGTGTGAAATGGTTTGGACATGAAGAGAGATACCTAAGAGAGATCAAAGATGATGGAGACAGAGCTCCCAATGGGGATATTCAACCTGGAGAGACACATCTGAAAAGGCACATGACGACAAAGCAACTGTGAGACATAAGCAGATGACCCACCCTACAAACCTTGAAGGCAGCACTTGACAAAAACAACTGAAGGGATGGTGGAGCCAATTAGTGTTTCCTGGTATATGATATGTAACGCATTATCATCATCACACACGAAGATGAACATGGTGACGCACTACGGAAATGACTAGTGCGCCGCACCTAATGTTTAAATATGCATTGTGTCATTAAAACAAATTGTCTTAAGCCACGTCCGAGTAAAAAGGAGGTACACAATAATTTTGTTCTATAATGTTTGAAAACCAATAATTCCAGTTCACTGTAGCGATAATTCAACATTTGTTACCTAGCAACAATGGAGCCCACATAGATATTGTTACTGTTGTGGACATCACAACATGCCAACACAAGACGTAAGCATGATGTGGGCATAAGGATTTGTTTTTAGAGATTAGAAGAAAACACATGTACGATAATCCCTAATGTTTCTTTTTAAACCCAGGGCCGATTAAATTTAATCTTTTGAGACGTCTCTTTATACTTAGACAGAAACACACACCCAGAGAAGCATGCAAACAAATATTACGGACAATTGCCTGGTGTCACTAGTTCATGAAGTGTAATTCTGTCACACTGACATACCTGTCAGGCCAAAATGCCGGTCCAGTTTTATATCACTGTCTTGGACTCACATACATACCCGGTGTGAGAAGAAATAAGGCTCTTTTTTGTAATGTGCCCATACAGTGTGTTGGCGCTAATGCTAGTTGGTCTACGCATTTAAACTATACTCCTGCTTATAGCAGCAAGGCCGACAGACAGCATTGACTAAACCATTTCCCAGCTGTAGGAGACAGAGGATGAACTCCAGCACAGCCAAACCCAGAAGAACACACAGCAGAGTCACATTCCACTCTACAATGTGAAGAGGCTGAAGACAGCGGGTCCAGGTCTCAGGCTGCAGCAGATACCTGCGGAGAAGTGAGGAATACAAGGGGAAATGAAGATCGAGCAAAACGACAGACAGAGAACTGTGTTGCACACGTGTGAAGAAAACCCCTTGAGGAAATTTTTAATTACAGCGATAGACAAGACCAACCTGTCGGTCTTTTATCATGTGACCTTTGTGGTTAAAAATCTGGGTAAATTGTTTAACCCACATGTAGGTTAGTCATCTGTTGAAATGTCCTCGTATTTAAAAATGTGGGACAAGGAAGACCTGCCTTGTTGTTTGATTGTGTTAACTGGTTGTGTCAATACTAATTCATTTGCATATTAACATTTCCAAAGTAAAACTCTAGACTATGACTGGAGTTACTTGAATTTAAAAAATGGTAAATATGTGTCAACAAAAAGTTTATAAAAAAATGTCCTATGTTTGTTTGAAACAAGAACTCCTAACTCCACTATGAATATTTGAATTAGCTTACACTTGCTCACAATATTTTTACTAGTGAATCGCAACTTTACATGGATTTTATTAAGATGCTGCTGTGTGTCTAACACAGTGACTAGAATGTGAATTCTGTGTCAAACAGAGAGTCAGGTAAGAAGTGGCCTTAAAGCAAAAGCAGTATCTAACAGACAGTAACGTTAGGTCTTCTTTTTGAACTGCTGGGCTGCATTCACAACCAGCAGGACAACACTGTGTTCTGTCTTAATTCCTACTGTACTTATAAATGTTGACAGTTCTGCAATTCTGGATTACATACAGTATGTTAAAAATTGACCAAGTGGACTGTAAACTTCCAGGAAACACAGTCAAGTATTACCTGCCCGCGTGGTCTGCAAAGGGATAGGACCATCCATAGTTAGTGTAGCACTGTGGACCCTGCATCAGGGCAAAGCCTGACATGACGAAACAGTAGCCCGACCCCAAGAGGCCGATCACAGCTGCCAGCACCGACCCACACATCTTTTAGAGGAACACAGATGCACAAAGAATTCACGTTTTAAAGCCTGTGGATATCTGTATGAAGACGCAGCTGCTTCATGTCTCAAACAGCTGCTGTCTTGACTTGCACATACAGTACACATTCAAATGATACTTTGAATATAGCAAGGATGATTATTTTTGCTAGTTGCTACTCTGTGTACAATTTTGGATTTACTTTTCTACGTTTACAGTTGATGAAAGCACAACAGATCCTGAATATCCTGATTTGTGACGTCAAACATGTATAATTATAGATAAGTGCAAAGACGTCATTTAGACAGATAAAGTACCTTAGTCTATACTATTTACGAGTGTGTTGTGCAAATAACTATAAGGTAGATAGCATGTAAGACCTGTTTGCCATAATTACTGGCAGTGTACATCTACATCTAATAAAGGAAATGACACACAGTGTGGGGCACCGTATATAACCTTACAAGAACATTACCATCAAACTCTGATTCCAACAGCAGCCACATTTGCCCAGTGTGATGAAGACAACAGCTGGAACCAGCATCTGTAAGCACAGAGAAGCACACTGTGTCAGTGCAATTTCCAAAAAGAATTTCCAAGAACTGATGGAAATCAATTAAACAAAATTGTCTGGTTGCAAGAATGTTGTTCTTTTTAAAATAAGGAATACATTTTGTTGACATTTTTTCAGAGACTACACTGTTGCATCTGCTATAAAATGGGAGAGAAATGTAAGGTGAAATAGAAAAAGTCTGCGGTAGTCATTACATAACACTCTTAGCCTGTATTATAAATGTGACACTTAGAATCCACGTGTTGAAATAATTTTTCAAAGAACTCTCTCTCTCACTCAGAAAAGTTCTTTCTTAGTAATTTAAAATAATTAAGAGGAAATGAGAGCTAGGCAAATTAATCTGGATAGCTAAAGAGTTCATGTTGCACGACAAAATACAACTGCCAAGTATTTGTAAATATATTTTTATTGGTAGTTGGCAAAGGTTTGTGTGTTTGTTCAAGTGTGTCATCTGTCTCCAGAGAATATTCATTCAAGGTTGTTTTTCAAGGTTTTCTTATTCACAAAATAACTATTTTTCTCAGTACACTAACGCCATTGTGAATAAAGTGGGTCTAAAACAGTGAAACAACAGAAAAGAAACTTGTTTTTTGATTTACTCACAACTAGATATTTATTGAAAGGATGGGATTCAAACCAGCAATCCTGTGTTCATAAGCCCAATATGTAACTACTAGACCAAACTATGACACGCACCACACTGAGTGCACCAATCAGAGCAACAACAACGATAATAACCAGGTGAGGTAAAGACAAAGGGATGATAATTATAGCAAAGATGGGGTGTTTTTCCTGTCTTTTCCTGATCATTTCCTCCTCATTTTTCTCTCCCCCTCTTTCCTCCCCTGTGGTCTCTCCACCAGTGGGTCATGGTCTTTATCACAGTGAACAGAAGAAAGGAAGTTCCCAAGCTTCTGCACGCACACAGATCGCAGGCATCGTGACGTACACTGCCAGAAGTACTGCTAAACTTTGAGAGGGAGTCAAATGGGAGAGGAAGAGCAAGGAGGAAAAGGAGAGAGAGGAAAACTGAGTGAGAGGAAGGAAATGAGCTAAAGATAGATGTTTCACAGAGGGACTCAGTTTGTTCCTCGACTCATCACACAAAGAGAGGAAAAGACCCGAGGGGCTGAGGGCTAATTCCATACAAAGGATACAAAAAGATAATCGCACTACACCTTTGAATAATTTACCCTGCCTTATAGTTATCATAATAGGGCAGGCATCTCCAAAGTCTAGTCTGGGGTCCAGACATATCACTAAAGAACTCCTCTGTGGCCTCTGACTTCTGTGTTTTTTTGTTTGTTTTGTTTTGCACCTTACAATGAAAGAGTGCCTATTTTTAAAAAATGTAACATTTTTTTTAACACTTTTCTAAGTTTGTCTGTGTCACATTTTCTATTTCTTAAAAGTCAAGTTATTTTGGTTTTAGTAATTCTACTGATCATTATTTTGCCAATACTGAATAAGGTCGAAGCACTTAATTCAAATGCTGCTGCGTAATCCTTTGGGGAAAATACAATCTCTCCTCTGTTTCTCCTTCAAGACCAACTAATATAACAAGCCCTTTCTGCTGAGTCTGACTGAGGCTGTCAGATCAGCTGCATGCAGAGCAGACAGATTAACTCGGAGCTCACATAACACCTCTTTGTTCTGACACACAACTGCAAACACACTTGGACTGACCGGGGCTGGAGGCGAAAAAACGTTATCATAGAGCAGAGTTTTAATGAGATGCAGCTTTTCTAAGATCATCCATGTACGAATGGACAAATGCATAGAGTATGTGCAGTTACGTATGAAACGTGTCAGTACTCACTGCCACCAATACTCTCTCCATGGGAGGAGGAGATGTAGCCCAACAGTCATTATTGTTGGAGAGTTTCTTCAGAATAGTTTCACCAACTCATGACTCTTGAATCTTTCTAATTCTAGTTGAAATGATGAGCAGTTTGTCTTGTACACAGGTTAGAAATACAGGGTTTGAGGGAATGTCACTCCTTGTGTCTTCAGGTAAACAGGGAATACCATATTCATTTAGTAAACATAAATGCTAATTACACTTGTACCATGCAGTGCCAGCTTCAGCCGAGTCAAACTAATCTAGTCAGATTAATTAACTAATGGAGCAGTATTGGCACCTGATCCAGAAACGTGTCCTGTCTAAATCTGTATTTAATTTGTTTCTGACTTGCAAATGTTCATTTTTAACTTCTCAAAGAAGTCCTCAGACTCAGAAGACCTCAGAATGATATCAAATAGAAAAATAACAACATGTGTTAATCACCAATACAATCAATGAAAATAGCAGAAATGTTAATAACAAAGACATAAGGGGTGTAAAGTGTTCCTTGATTTCAGCCAAAGCCATCACCAAAGATTTAAAAACTACAATGGGGTCTTCTACACCAATTAACCCTAAACTGAGCAAGTCTGACTCCCTGTCACAAAAAACAAATGTTGGTTTGTTCTAGTCCAAGCCCAATAATAGCTGTTTGTGGACAACTG